CGATTTTGCCTATTTAAAATGTAAAAATAAGATAAATTTTGTTAGTAATTCTAGATAAACATCTGCAGACTGCTGCTTTAAGTCATGCTCTTGCTAAACTGCTACTGTGTGGCTATCTCTAATTGATTTTATAGAACAGAAAAGATTGAATGAATAGCTGCTCTGAAGCTACTGCAGAACTGTATGCTTTCTGTCATCCCCAAATAAGCTGCTAGATATAACACAGTAAAAATAAATTACATAGGACTTCTGTAGTACTTTTTGTATTAATGTACATATATGCATAAATATTTACCATAACATGGGAGATGGCATACAAGAAGTACATTTTACTTTTTGGTAGTTTGTATGCTTTTGTGTAACTGAGCGAGTGAAGTAATATCAGGAGAACAGAAGGAGAATGGACATCTTAAAAATGGAATTTTAAGGCTAAAGCTAAAACCAAACCCTCCTTAGTTAGGAAGCTGTTAGGTCAATGAGCGTTCTGTGACTTGGGACTTTTACAGAAGAATCACGTTAATGAGCTGCTAACCAAAGCAGGGACTGGTCTGGAATAAAACCTTGAGATACTGTTTGCTTAGGCACTGCTCCCGCTCTATTGTCATGCTGTTCCTGTATCTTTCAATATTTTCATTAATGATACGGATGAAACAGTACACTTACTGAATTTGTAGATGCTGTAAAGCAGGCTTGGAGGAGACTGCAAACATTTTAGAACTAGAATTAGAATTCAGTGTGATCTTGAAAAATTTGAATTACTGTCTTTTTACCTTTTTCTTTTTTTAATAAGAGAATTCAAGGAGGACAATAACAAAGTCTCATTAGCTGAAGAACAGTCAGATTCACCAACAGAGCACAGGCTAGAACTTTCTGGGTAGCAGTTCTGCAGAAAAGGACCTTGGATCATTAATGTGGTTCAGTTGTGAAAAACAGGCACCAATTAGAATGCATCAGCAGAAGTGTTGGGTGCATGAGATACAAGATATGTCAAGTAATTTTTCTTCCTCAGCAGTGGCTGGCCCTCAGTTGTTACCCTTGTAAAGCCCTTCACAAATACGTAGCACATGCCGCGTGTTGTGTGCTTGTACACAGGTTAGATTTGGCAAGTTGTGTGGCAGAGCAGTGTGAAAGTGCTCGCACCTCCTGCATATACACATCTTCCCTTTCTGCACACATGAAGTCCAGTCTTCTGTTTCAGTTGTTCAGGGCATTAGTTTCTCTGACTGTTGTTTTTTCACACAACAGCTTGTGTTTCAAGTCAATTATTTCTTTTTCAGTATTTCCACATTGTGAAATTGTGTTTAACTTGAAAACTCATTGTTCATGTTTTCCATCTTCTGTGCTCTTTTATCTACTTTATTTATCTATTCAGTTCTATTCCATTAGTGCAACATAGTCTAAGAATTATTTCACCTGAGCACTTAATTAATATCTTATGTCATAAGATCTAAGGATATAAAGTGATCCATGTTCCAGAAAAGTACAAGAAATTATATTAATCAGGAAAAAAATTAAGTAATTCTTTATGCTTTGTGGTGCTTTTTAGCATGACACAAGTATATTCACAGTTGTTAAAAATACTCTGCATCTGTGAATATAACTAAATTAATGTTGAGTTTGTAACTTACAAGAAAAATTAATGGAATATTTGACAGCCATATTTTCACTTAAAAATGTGAGGCAGTTTTCTTTTGTTATTTTAGTGTGAGTTTGTTTTGTTTTGGTTATTTTTAGTGTGCAAGGAGAATGCACAGGTTATACATAATTTGACAAGAAAGTGAATACCAACTGTTGGATGAAACGTGTAACTGCCTATGTACAAAGTGCTTTCAAAAGCGGAAATGAAGTAAAATGCAATTATAGTATATTTGCATCCCTTTAAATGCCTGCTATAGAATTTCTAATACAGCTGTACAGATTAGAGTAAGAGAGGAAAAAACATTGCAGCACCTCAGAAGGCACCATAAGCTCTGGGATAGAACTTTACAAAAATGGCAGCGCTGCAACTTGCGAACGTCAGATGTGTAGGCGTGTGTGTGATTAAGACTGCAAAAAATGTCATTGCTGTGGTGTCTGGATGTGGCAGCTCCATAAAGACCCAAAGCTGGCAGTCCCCAGCTGCACAGTCTGGCTTTCTCAGAGGGATCCAGGCATCTGCAACCCCTGCCTGGCATCGAGGGAAACTCCTCTGGGGACACTTGTTGGGTGCAGCGGATTCCTAGGTGTGATTTGGGGCAGCCACATGAAGTAAGGTGTGGGGGCTTCTCTGATCATATTCATAATACCCAAAATAAGCTATCCCATTTGTATATGCCAGATTTTTCAAAACTATTAGTGTAAAAGATTTAAAAATGTTGTGATTATATAACTGCATTTCATCTCTGACCATATTAGTGAAATCTCTCTCCCTCAAGTCCTACATTTTTATTATGTAGCAGCAAACTGGTCTGTGCTCGTGGCTGGAAGGCCCTAAAATGTTTTTGCTTCAGTGTTTAATAAAATAGTACAACACTGGTGTATATGTAAAAAATGTAAAGAAAAGACATACAAGTTTTGTCCCCTTTGTCATCTCCATGTCTCTCATACTTAAGAGTTAGTCCCTACAGTTATATTTACCTCCTGGGCATCTTTGTTTGTATGGATTAGTTTACAAAATAGTTAGTTTCTTGTAGGAGTTATGCAGCTTTTAGATATATAGGAAATCCCCAGCACCTTATATGTTATGATTTTATTCTGATTTCACAATTTAATTTCCTACATACTATACTACTATATCAATCCTACAATTTATCCCTTTAGAAGAGCAATACTATAGAACATATCATTTTATTTGGTTATTAGTAAGTTCTGCTTTCTTGAAAAGAAGAATGAACTTACAAAATAGTGGAAGCTGAAAGAATAATTCACAACTGTCAGGGCCTGAGAATAGGTGTTCAGTAGTATCTCACACAGCACTATATGAGTGATGGCTTTCTCATACTCATGTTTATAAGCTAAAATGCTGTAAATACTCTAAGGAATTTCTTAAAATCTAATTATTGTGATGATATTTCATATTATGTGGTTTCCTTTTAAAGAGCTGTAATAAATATGGCCTGATTCTGCCATCATTAACTTGGATATTTACCATTAAGAAACTGTTTGAATGAATTCTGTTCTATACTAATATATTTCAAATCAGAATTAAACACACAGTATACCAAAGAATTTTGTAGTTTTACACATTCTAAGTCTTTAAGTTAGTCCCTTCTGAAAATACTGCTGCAT